TCTGGTTATCATGAGAGTGTTGCCATAAAAGTGCCTTTGGAGCAAATACATCCCAGAATACAAATCAGAATCATCAAGATTGGCACATAGAAGGGCTTTAGCTAAGCAATTAAAGATCAATAAATCCTAAAGAATTAAATATAAATTCTAAATGTATTTCAATAATAAATGTCCAAGGAATCAGCAATCAATAAATTCTAAAATTAATCGGAAACTGGACTTCTCCCAATTAAGTGAAACAAAGCAAGTAAAAACTTTAATAGCAAAATATCTGTGCCCAAAATCAGTTTGTTCCTCATCTAGGATATTAGACTGGGAGTCCCAGACCTGCCGTTTATTGAGAATAAAGCCAGGCTGCAGATGTGAGAGGAGGTGCCGAAGACTGACGGGTCTGTAATTTAGAAGAGAAAACATCATTTTTTTGTTTAATTTTATCTTTAATATGCTTCTACTAAAGCATATTAAATTTCAATATTCAAAATTACTCTGCATTCCATGACAACACAGAGATTGATATCTAAAATCAAGTTAAATGGCAGAGAAAAGCAATCTTGGAAATCAAAATTTGCCATAGTTTATTTACTCAAGTTTGCATATCAACTATTAATGCAATTTCTTCACTGACTATTCATTTATTTAACCAACACACACTGAACCAGGATACATAGTGAGGTTTCAGAAAAGAATGAGACAGACTCTCTGACCAAAGGAGATTTTTATTATGACAAGGTATTTAGGGAACAACATTCCCCAAATATGGCAAAAGGGCAGGCGTGGGCAGGTAAGGCTGGGAAGTCATCACAGGGGAATAATTGTTCTAGTTTGATCTTATTCCTAAAGGATAGTTTGGTTTTGGAAAATCAAGAACATTCCGGGAAAACAGAATAGCATATACAAGGAAAATAACCTTGGAGCAGTGTGCAAGATGGAAGATGGATTTGAAAGGGAGTGGACATGGGTAGGGAGGGGAAGGGAGACAGAGGGGAAGAAAAGAATGAGAAACGGGGGAGAGAGGCACAGAGGGTGGACAGAGAGAAAGAGAGAGAGGTGGAGAGAAGGAAAGAATGTGAATACATGTTCCCAAAGCACTAACTCATGGAATCCCTAAAAGAATTGGCTCTTGGTTGATGATTATCTAGTCCAGACCATTCTTACTCCAGTTAATAGTATGCTGAATCACTTAATATTATTATTGAATTGTTTGGAACTCATCAATTATTTGGTTACCCTTAGGTACATTTCATGCAGTTCCAAAGGGGATCAGGGAGAGGTTGTTTTGTTAAAATTGTTCAAATAGTTCATAATGTTTTCTTTTTCTCTTTTGACGTGGGGAGATGGGCCAAATCTGAGCTCCAGCATCTGGGTTCTAGTCCCAGCTTGGCCATTAGCGTGGCGTGTGCCTTTAGGCACATCACTCTGAGTCCTATTTCCTTTTCCTTTCCTGTTTAAAAAAAATCCAGCCACTAAATGAAGAACATGGAACTGGGCCTAGTTCAACCATCTGGTCCATAAATAAGAGTTGTCTTTCCTCCCCACAGCAGGGAACTCGTGTTTTTTATGAATGAAAGGAGAGTAATAAAGTAGTTGTGTGATTAATAAAATAACCCTCTGAAGAATTTTCGGAGAGGTAGAAATAAGATAGCAATTTAAGGAACTAGCAGTGTTGAGGCAAGCGCTATCTCTTGGATGGCTAAAAAAAAACCAAAACACTAGGGGTGCCCAAAAAATGTATACACATGACTTGTACTCGTCTTTTGTTATGGGTAAATATTATTACAATTTTAATACAGTTTTTTTCCTTTCTTAAAATGCGTACAAATTTTTTTGGCACCCTCTGTAAAACCAGTTGGTCCTACAAAAGTTTGTTTCATCTGAATGTATTTAAAAGTGAATCAAAAAAGAAACATTTAACAGTTGTACTTATTAAGTAGAAATTTTGAAAAATAGAAGAATAGAGAGGCAAATCAATTATTTTATTTATTCAGTTAGTTACTGGCTTGAAGATTAAATGTGGCTTACATAAATTCAAAGAAAATGTGAGGAAAAGGGTGCCACGAAACAAGGATTGGTATTGGTGTATGGTGTGTATGCTGATAAGCCCTGCTTTTTGGCCTGGGTAGGTCACGCATCTATTGCATGATTTACATTATCCATAAATCTTTAAACAAAAAATCAGTGGTTCAGGAGACATACAACTATTCCTCATAAGGCAATTAGAGACAGTTCCCCCAGCATTCCATGAAAGGTAATGTACTGAGCTCATTTAAAAGAGAATCTCACAGCCCTCCTCACACTCTAACTTCTCATGTGTTCAGAATCTACTTTGGATGTTCACCTGCCAGGTAAAGACTGTGCCTTTTTTTTTTAAGAAATTTTATTGGGGAACAGTGTGTTTTCCAGGACCCATGAACTTCAAGTCAAGTAGTTGTTTCAATCTAGTTGTGGAGGGTGCAGCTCCTTGGCCCATGCGGGGATCGAACCAGCAACCTTGGTGTTATGAGCCTGCACTGTAACCACCTGAGCTAACAGCCGCCCCTAAGGCCTGTGCCTTTTAACATGCTATCAACATGGCTTATTACTGATGATGCTGACCAAAATCCCCAGGCCAAAGTAGTTATTTGTCAGGTTTCTCCACAGCAAAATAACTTTTTTCCCCTCTGCTTTAGATTAAATGTGTTTGTCTCCCCCAAAATGTATACGTTGAAAACCTAACCCCCCAGGTTATTATTAGGAAGTGGAGGTGATTAGGTCATGAAGGCAGAGCCCTCACGAATGATATTAGTGCCCTTATACAAGAGACCCCGGAGAGATCCATTGTCCCTTCCTCCATGGAAGATTACAGAGAAAAGACGGCTGTCTCTGATCCAGGAAGGTCTCACCAGACACTGACTGTGCCACCAGCTGGCCTTCAACTTGGATTTCCCAGCCTCCAGAACTGTGAGAAAGAAATTTCTGTTGTATACGCTGCCCAGTCTGTGGTATTCTATTCCAGCAGCCCGAGTGGACAAAGACACCCTCTTTCCACACTGTACCCTTTGGAAGGAAGTCGCTATGCAGCGGCCACCTTACGAAGTGGGGGTGATGATACACGCCCTTGAAGCAGAGCCTCTGCTGTGCACTGTTCTTACGAGAGGCACCAACGAGAATGCGGTGTCTGCCAGAGTGGCTCCAGTGTGCTTGCATTTCACCCTGTCTCCTTCCACTCAGGGCTGCTATCTTTGCTGTTTCCTCCCAGCCGCCTGCACAGCACGACCCCATCTATGTGGTAGGTCTCAGCAGCAGCAGTATCATTTTGTGAGAAACTATTTGCTAAACATATGCACATTCTCCATCCCCATTCCACCCCAGAATCAGAAACTTGAGGTGGGCCCAACCATCTGTGTTTTCATACACCTTCCGGGTCATTTATACTTGACTTGTTCATGGTGTTAGAAGTAAGGGTAAATGCTCTAATTTTTTCTTGCCTGGGTTGGCCTGCTCTTGACAGCTCATCGTAAGTGTCAGCATTTTCCTCCACACTGATCTTGCTTAAACTGACACTGGGTGTTGAGACCTTTATCTCAGGACTCATGGCTTATTAAGTGGCCCCCCACAGACATCCCTGGAAAGCTGGCAAGGTCATGCGTTACACTCTTTCATGTCATTACTAACATATTCCACCCAGTATCTTCCACCCAAAGGTTGTTCTCCCTGATCTAAGTTTCTGACTGAATCCCTCGAAGGAATTTAGTGTTTTGACTACCAGTCCTGTCCCCATTCTGTGCTTCTTACGTAATACCAACAAATTTCCCTTCAGACACTGAATGCTGGCTTGGGAGTGATGAGACTCTCCATGCCTTTATTTGAACTTGACCCCCCATCGTTAAGTCTCTCCCTGGGAGCCCCTGGCCAATGTCTTTGATTGTTCCAGGTTTCCATCTCCTTCCTGCTACTCCTGTTTCCTGGGCTTTCATCTGGTACCAGGAAGCATGTCTCACCTCCTGCCAGGAGCCAGTGCTGACACGCTCAAGTTTCCTGAATTATTGCTGGTGACACATTTCAGTTACACAGTATGCTAAATGATAGAGGCCTTGAGACAGTTTGAGAGTTGCTCAGCAGCCATATAACGGTTCTTTATACAGTGCCAGCCGAGTGGTGCATTGGTTAAGAGCTGGCTTGGGATGCCAGAGGACCCCGGTTCGGATCCCACATATGAGGGCCAGTGACACTGCCCTCTACAGCTAAGATGCTGAACAACAGCTCAACCTGGAGCTG